CAAAACATGAATTTTTCCTGTTTTCGGGTCACAAAACAATAACTGAAGAAGATTACCGCGAGCAATGCATACTTCCTGCAAGACAGTTTAAATTAATGAAAAATTTTTCAACCACTCAGCTCGCAAATCGAAGTTAAACTATCTCGTAGTAATTTCCCTTATTTTCTAATGGTATGTTACTCCCCTATTGCATATTTCCTTATTTAATTGATGTAATTTGATGAGTAAATTGGTTATTTCGTATAAGAGCGCCTTAATCATTTTACGTAAACCAGACCCAAACGCAGCGCGTCGGTTGTACGTTCTCTTTATTTTTAGTAATTCCGTATTCAAGTTTATGTGCAGCCAATGAACTGTACAATAATTCTGCCGATTCTACTATAAATTCCTCTATGAAAGATTAGAATTCACAAGTAAATTACGCATAGAGCATCTTTTTCCATCTACTATACGATTTTATTCTACTATACACATAATCTACTAATTCTATCCACATTAACCAGCTGAATAAAGTTCGCACTTTCCAATTTAATTCTAAAATTATACCTGCTGTTTTGGTAACCCGCAAAAGGATCCATGAATCGCCTGATTAATTGCTGACGAACCTTGCAATGTTAAGTTGTATAAATACATAGCGTTCTCCGAGTTTCACTTATTTTTGCCTTATACAACCTGCAATTTTTTTTTATCTTTTATAAATAACTCCATCCTATGATTTCCTTGTGTATAAAAGATATCATCAGCAATAAATGAAAAGCGAAGAAGTGCATAATTATAAATAATATTGTAACAACATGAAACATTTAAGCCCAGTAAGAGCCAATAGCAAATAGGCCAGAAGATCGAAAAACTATGACAATAATCATTCATGCCATTCTCTCATTCATAATTAATATCAAACAATTTAATAATGACGGTTCTATGAATATATCTATTCATCATAACGCTGAAATTGAAAAATTAAACAATCGAACGTGTGAAAAATCTAATTAGGAGATAACAGATTCCATTATCGTACCCATGAAATGCTCTTTTCTCCAACGCTGCTACAATTACCAGCACAACAATTTCATTATTTAATCACCACAGTATTATCTCTTATCACCCTTATCAATCTCTGCGACATTTTATCTCTAATCACACATTCATTTTTTCTTCTCCCTCCTGTCTGACTCTGTCTCGATATATAGCAATGTTTTCAAAACTGCTCAATGCTTAATAATATATTCCTTAACAGTAAATTCCACAATGTTTTCTTAACAATGCTATTTTCCACCACCCTATTACCCTCCAATATGTAACCCCAAAATTATAGCAGCACTCAAATCACCAAACTATTTTACGCATTCAAGAGTTCAGACTAATTTGATGAAATTAGAAGTTGCATGCAACAAACCATGAAATGGATTACGTCCAGAGTTGTCTTATATTAAAATAATTAAATTGGATTTGGATCGGTTTTGCTACGTCTCTTACCTTAGGTAAGGAAAGTGCTGTTTCCAGAGGAACTGCAAAGATTGTTCTATTTTAGATTTTCTTATTTTTTTTAGTTTTTCTGTCTGAATTTGTTGGATTGAAATCCTTTAAAAAGTTATATTATAATATGCTTGGTATTTTGTTTAAAAAAATAAGTTAGCAAAAAAAAGAATGCCACCTGAAAAAAATTCAAACATTTGAATAACTTTTTAATTGGAATTAAAATGTAATCATTTCATTTTTTTCGATAGATTTCGCTTTTTTGCGAAATCGGCTTAATCCATTCATCCCATCATTTTTGTTAGAATGATTAGTGGGAGATAAGTCGATCGTTTTTCAGAGCTATAGAATGTATAATTGAAGCTTTAATTCATTTATTTATGGTTGGGAAATCATTCGTGTTAATTATTTACTCTACTTCCCTGTCAACAAATGGTTCAGTCGAAAAAGAATTACTCTTATCTAAAATCATTGATATTTATTCATTTCATACATTTTCGATTGTGGTGTTTCCCACGAATGTTGCTCTGCTGTCATTTCACTGAACCATCTTCAAAAACTGCATCCATACTTATGGTAGTTAATCAAAGGAACTATCATTAAAAAACACTGACAAAGTACCTTTTCACATACGTATCGGTTCTCATGTAACGACAGTTTATCGTTTTCTTAGAAACAAACAGAGTATATACATCGTTTTAATCGGAAATAGCAATTTCATTCCATATTAATAATGATAATATTTGGATCATGCTGTTGTCTGGCAGTTTTTAAAAGCTGTTGTAACTAATATTTGGGAATGGAATGCTTTCATCAAAGTTCATCATGAGGAGAGACATCATTATAAGTATCATCTCCTGCTGAATTTATTATTTTAGTGTTTCATATTGTTCAAAATCTTGGTCAAGTTATGGAGATGCGAGGATCTTTGTTTTTAAAGTTACGGAAACACGAACCTATGACGAATATAGAAATTTCCTAAACATTACTTCTTCACAATTTCTGTATCCGTAGTATTCATTCCATTCGATTCCGGTATTTTTTAATAGCCATGTTATATATTTCGATTTTCTTTTCAGCTATGAATGAAAATCTAAGCTAATGGATGCAAGATGAATATTACTTGTCTATCGTCTTAAACACAGTAATCCATTCACATCGTCTTCATATTCCAAATGAATGGAAAAGAAAGAAACTTGCAATTATGCTCAGAAAGAAAAAGAAGAATTTTCAATTTTAATTAATTAGAATAATTTGAAATTGCACTGTAAAAAACTAATGGGCAGACAATTAAATTACGGTTATGTTTTGAATTATCATTATTGATGTTCAATTTGGTTTGGCTATCTACTTTGATAGTTGTGCAGTATCGAATAAAATTTCCAATGAAATATCTTCTTTTATGAAATGCTATAAATTTTAAAATACAGCTTTGGAAAAAGAGCAAAGTAATATTGCGCATCTGTTGTATTTTCACCCAAAAAATCACGTTGATGTTCCGTGATTTACAAAATGGTGAAGAGGGAAAGAATAGAATGTTGACTTGAAAGAAAAACCTTCTTTATTTGAAAGCGCTGCTTCTAAAATTAAGCAATTGAGGTAACATAATGACAAATCATATACTATTATTTGTTTTTTTTTTATCGTATACGATTTCAAAGTTAGTAATTCAAGCCAAATTTTTAGGCATTTGCAGTGTGCACTTTAAGCATTACCTAAAAGAATTATTAAAGCGAAATATTATAATTCCATTTTGGATGTAAAATATACATTGTAAATATATTATGATTGTGAAAATTTTTAATGCAATATAGTATTAAAGACAGGAATCAATAATAATCTTTCAATACTAAAATATACTTTTTGATGATTACAGACAGATTTACTTACAATTTCAAGTATTTACATATACACACAGATTTAATCAGCGAAGTAACGCATGAAATTCGCACAATGAAACTGAAAACATGAAACTCGCATAATAGGAAGCCACGATTTTTATGACAGACGACAACATGTTACTTTTTTATCGTTTTTGTTGTTGTTGCTATAAATTTGTTAGAGTGTAAAATATGCTTTTATGCATAGAATACAGTGGAAGACTGGTTGTTGACATTGAGAGTATGAATAATAATATCAGGTACTCTCTTTTCTTTTCATAACCAGTCGAAGTCAATTTATCAGCCTGTCGAACCTCTTTTCATACCTCTTGTAAAAATATGATAGTTAATATAATTTATATTTGTTGTTATTACTAAACCGTTATTTGCTAGAAAATGTAATTTTAAACTCTGATAATTTTGAAATCTAACTAAATTCTACTGAGATAATTAATGCTTTAATAGCAGGATAATATTGATATATTTTCGAAAGTTCCAAAACTTAAAATACTTTACTGCTTGTTAGCTAATGATGACCAGTAGTTATCTTGAATTACTTACAGATTAGCAAACGCTCAAGACAAACGATATAATATTTTTACAATTGAGATGGAGGGTTCTTGAATGATTTTGTGAATGATTACACCCATATGTTAAGTTAAATTTTAAAAGTTCTGGAAAGAACTTAATTTAAAGAAGAACTCAAACTTGGAAAGAACTTAAACTTAATGAATGCTTAGCCGGTTAAACGAAACTTTCTTCAGATTTCTTTCTTAGCAGCTTTTCAATGATCGTTTTTTGATTAAGCAATTTTTTGTATCAGTGCTTGTTTTTCAGGGAAGTTTGTCTTTTTGAAATTATTTGTTTCACTGAGAAGAATCAGTTAATTTTTGTTTTTTCCGCAACTTTTGATGAATTTAGGATCGCTGTATCAAACATCAGACACAAAAAGAAAATGAACCTAAGCAAATGTTCCATTCAATTCTATCGGCGAATTTATTTCTAACATTTATCTTATCTTTTTTCTTTTTACTCACTTACGTGAATTACTTGTGAAAATTACCTGACATTTATGAAAAAGTAACAGAGGAAATGCTATAAGTAAAAATTTAACAGATAATTTCTATGAAATTAATTTTTATGAAGTGATTAGACTTATTAACAAAATATCATTTCTTTAACATTTAATAAATTCTCATCACTTTATTAAAAAAAATTTGATATTGGAGATTGAGGATAGATAGGAGAGGAGATGGGGGTGGGCAGGAATAGGTATCAGGTGATAATCGAACAATAAACATAAAGATCACCCGAGTGCCAAAACCCTTCAGCAGATATGAGCAGCGTATGCCAATATCCTTTTATAGTACTATCATTTTCTGAGCTCAGCCGAAAAAAAGTATATTTTAATTATCAATAATCTAATAAATAGTTTGATCTGATGGTAGTCTTTTTCAGGTTATTAAGAAATGGTAATATATACTGTCACGACATACTGACCAGTTGGATAATATTGATTTTTTTTTCCGAAATTATTTTTAAATCCAAAATTTAATCAAAATATTAGGAGATCTAGGTATATATCAACACGATCATTCGATTGCTATACTGTTTTTACTTTCTAATCGCATATTTTCATGACTGATGTCATCAAATATGACAGTTCCTGCTATAACGCACTTATTCACAAGTGCTGCACCGTTCATTGTTGAAAACTTCCGTAATAAACGACAGTCATGGTACGACTACCGTTACGATAACTATTACGGATATGGATTGTATGTTTGCAAATAATTTATGTCAGTATCAGTTATTTGGTAGAGAAAGAAACAAATTATTAAATTTAAATCATTGAAAAATATATGTATATACTGGAAGAATTTTTCACCACATTTTATTCTCTTTTTGTATTACCTTATTGCGATTTCATCTTACTGTAAATAAAGTCTTTTACTACTGTAAAAAGAAATCTAAGCCGTAATGTTTCATACAATTGTTTATTGTATTTTATTAATATTTTCGAAAGTTTCATTTTATATGGAATCCCGTATTTTCAGTCATTGGGGCCGAATAATCTTCATCATCCTGCTGTTAATAGCACTTTTCGTATGTTGCTTGCTACCTTGTATATGTGCGCTTGGGATTTGGTTCGCCGGCTGGTTTGGGTTGCGTAATCGGTCCGTCAACAAAGAAGGTAGCGTTAGAGTTCCCGTCGCTACAAGTGCCGATCCACAACAGCAACCTTATGTATACCAAGCAGCCAGGCCACACAGTAAGTGCTGTGAAATTGTTTCATACCACAAGTCACATCGAAAATTCAGCATTGTGGCATTTTAAAAACTAAGATGAGATAAGATTAACTAAACGCCTTTGGTTCCGTTGGAATTTCGAAACTGTATCGAAAAAAGCAATTCCAGATTTCACGCCATCTGGACCAGGAAATTCTCGAGAACGCATGGATTCTTATGTTTATGAGGAGAAACGCAGAGATTGCTACCACCACCGACCCCCATCACCACCTCTACATGATGATTACCGACGACATTTCACATCTTCTAAACTATAACCTATAAATTTCTCATTTGTTCTCTTTAAAATCTTAACGAGTTTATAAGTGACATCACTGGATCGCAGCTATATAGTAAATTCCAAGCGCAAATTTCAAATTTGAAACTAATTTTTCACTGTATAAACTTTTGGTTCGTACGTCTAATTTCGAACGGATTTTTTCCAAAGACAAATTTGGCGATCTAGAATGTGCATGGACTTCCTCGAGACTCATAATTCCAACTATGCATTTGTTTAGTATGTATTAATCTCTTTTAATGAAATGTATAAGTGACAAACAACTGTTTCGTATATAAATATATTTCTCCTTTGGATAAGTATGCAATATTGTTAACACAGGGTTTACCATTTTTTGAATGATGTAGTATATAAGGCTAGACAAAAGACTTAATATTACATTAAAAAAAAACTTTCCTCAATCTACAAAATAATTCTTAGTATTTAAAAAATGGAAATAAAAAGAGCAAATTTCTAATGCATTTAGCACAATATGTAAAAGACATAGAAAACTTAGGAAACCAAAGTTTTCCCACAATTTTACAAGGACGTCAATACTCCAATATCGCTATAAATAGATTATAACACATCCCTTCTTGTCTCTGAATCGGTTCATTTTTTAATTTTCGCTTAATTCTTCTATCGGTCATTTGGACTGCCATAATTAACAAGTAAAAATGTTGCAATTCTTTTGTATGAACATTCGCTGAAAATTGAAGCGATATCCCTAAAGTTTTTTATTCCTAGAGAAATTAGAAAACAATTCTAATTTTAATTTCTAATAATCACCGCTAATACACTCCAAAATGAAATAAAAAAGCGACCAGTTCTCCGAATACAATGAGTTTGATAGGACCATTAAATCGAATGTTTCATTATCTTATTCTTAAAACGGAGATAGATAAGATGAGAATTTACTGTTTCAGAAGTTCTAAAAACATAGCCTTCCTTTCTTAGTATATAAGATATTTAAGACAACGTGGATCAAAAGCGATTGTTAGGATAACAACTACATAACAGCAGTTAATTGTGGTAGAAATCGAGAGATTTTCGTGAGTATTTAAGAAAACATACAACAGCTTTTTCTTTCTAGTCCCTTTCTTCTTAATTTTTACCAACCAACTTCATCAGGCCTTCAGTTGAATGAGATTTGGGACGCTCGAGTGGCAGGCCCATAGCACGAGCCCATATCATCTGCGATAAACACCCGAGTGCACGTGATACACCAAAAAGCACCGTATAGAAAGACATCTCTTTCATACCATAATATTGGAGCAGTACTCCAGAATGTGCATCCACATTGGGCCATGGATTTTTAGCCTACAATAATCATATTATTCATATTTGATGCATTTGTCCAAAACATATAAATCGACTATACCAGTTCAATGGTTCCTTTTAAATCCCTAGGAAATAACATATCGAGGGATCCTAGCGCAATCAACCAGGTCCAGGAAGTATTTTCATTGCAGACATGGAGTTCTCCAAAAAATTAAATTATAAATTCCCGATACTTTTTCAACTTTCATAATTGCATCACACACCTTTCCTTGTTTCAGAAGGATATCAGGCGTAAATTCGTAAAGTTTTGAAACAAGATGGAACATTGGGTCTTTCGGAAGATGTTTCAAGGCAAACTCCCGCTGACAGGTATATCGTGGGTCTGTTTTACGCAATACAGCATGGCCATAACCCGGCACTACCTGGAATAGCAATATTCAAAATTCGGAATGTTATTGAAATTCGGTAGCATTAATTTGTAGTATTATGAAATTTTCTGAATCATTTCAAAGGTTATTAATGTTAAAGTTCCACCTGGCCACTCTTCAAATGATTCCATATCCAGTCGCATAACTGCTGATCAGTGTAATTTTCGCCTAATTCTTTTCTGCACTTTGTTAGGAACACCAGCACCTAAAGTTCAGAAAATGGTAATTTATGACAAAATAAAGTGAAAATTCGTCGAAACCCTTATGGCTTTACAAACGATATTATTTAAGGAGTAACTGAATGATCAGCGAGAGAAAATAATTATGAAAAAAATATTAGAGAATATTTGGTTAATCATAAAGATAATCCTTACGACATAAGATTATGAATATAAGGAAAAATTGATCAGGCAAGCAAATGAAAGCATTAATTAATACATCCACCACAAATACCTTGTAATTAAATAAACTGAACCTCTTGATTAGCCAGGCCATGCAATGGTCCAGCAAGGCCAGCCATAGCAGCGGAGAACGACAGATATGGATCTGATAAAGCAGAGCCGACTAAATGTGACGTGTGCGCAGAAACGTTACCGCCTTCGTGATCGCTATGAATAGTGAGATACAAGCGCATAAGTTCAGTAAACGTTGGATCCTTGAAACCAAGCATCGCTGTAAAATTGGCAGACCAATCATCCGAAGAATTGACTACACTTGCTAATGTACCTGAAATTGCCAAGTTCGATTTAGTTAATTTTTCCTGCAAATCACTGAATAAATGTGAATTTTCTCAAGAAAACTGATTGAATTTTGAGCGTAATAACATAAATCAGTAAATCCCAGCTTTAATTTTTGACAAAATGGCATACCATTTTATGCTAGCAATCTTTCGATTCAAAAATAAATGATATCATTACATGAGGTTCATTGAACTTTGTCCAAAAACTTACCATCTCTGTATAAATTTCGATAAATAAGGGCAGCAATTGTAGGTAATTTTGCAATGAGTCTCATAGCATCATCGTATACAAACTCCCAATATATCGCTTTTTTTGCTCCTTTACTATAAGCCTAAAAATATATTACATGCACTACTAACAAAAATATTGAAGGGACAGCTGTCCTCAGCAGAAAAGTAATATGCCACTTGCTCTAATCACTCTTCTTGCATTCCCTATTCCGTTTGCTGTGGATTGATATACTACCGTTTGCATAAATCAGTTCTGTAAATATAAAGTTCTTGGCTATTTCATGATTGTTTCATAAATAGCCAGTTTATAAAATTCACCGTAATATTATGAAATTCATCAAAACAAGTTCACATTTAAAGAGAAACAAATACTGTTAAGAACTTTGCTCATACATCGGCAAATTTACTTTCGCAGTTAAGAGCAGCGATAGCCGAAACAAACTGCGCCATAGGGTGCAAATTGTGCGGGAAATTACAGATCATTTGCTCGACGTGCTTCGGCAGATCCGCATGAGCAGCCCATTCCTTACTGAAATTATTGAAAAAGTTGTTTGAAAATTCCGTTAAATGTTGAATTTCAATATTGATATTAAGTGAACTGAAATGTTTTCAAAAATTTGCGCTATCTTTTAAATTTCAATTAGGTTTTTTGCCAAGACACTCGCATGTGATGCAACAAAAACAAGAAAAAGGAGAAATCGCATTATGTCAAACTCCGTAAGATTGCTGAAGTGTCTCTGTGAGAACACGGATTAACCGCTAGATTTTGGAAGTATAATTACCAAAGAAGTATATATCAGAAACCTGCAGAAAGTGGCTGTTTGTTCTAGTCTTCATTATCCACAACAGCGATAGAATAAATTATTACATGGAAATTTTTTAAACATTACATTTGAGTAATTCAGTTTTCAAGAATATTAAAGCAATTTTGAATTATTTTTAAGGAGTGAAGAAATTAATGAGACTAAATGGAATACCTGATTGCTGTAGTTTGTGCTTCACTCGGAATATCACCAGTGCACAACAGCCACCATATCCCTTCCGGTAGTGGTTCTTCACCTCCTTTTGCCTTAGGCAGCATTTTTTGGCATTCCGGTATAGAATAACCACGAAAACGTATGCCTTCTTCTGGATCTAGCACTGATGTCTCAGTTACTAAAGCCTGAAAATTGGTTTAATCGAATTTTCGATTTGAAAAAATCTTTTTCTGGGATTTCCTGTGAAGTGCAATCAATACTTTCTTAAAGTATTGCATTTCATAGAAAGTGCTACTGCTTTTGCTATACTGCTTCATAATTATTGTTGGAAATAAAAAGGAATGTTATGATTAGAGTAGTTTGGGAGACGAATGTGGTTGGAATCAATTTTATTTTACTGGAGGAAAAGTTATCGATGATCAACGTTATTCAAATAATGAGGAAGAGCTGTGGAGGAGCAGTGAATGCGAACTTATGATCTTCAGATTATCAGATTGACTAGGAATTGAGATGTTATATATTCCTTTCAAGTTAGGCGATACTTGGCATTTGACGAGTACTATTTATAATAAATAGATAATTGGTCATTTGATAGATGAAAAATACTGAACGATGAAAAACAAAGTAAAGCTCATTTGATAGAGAAACTAATGCTCTGTAGAACAGGTCATTTAATTGAGAATATCTTACCATATGACAAAAAAGTGAAACAAACATTGACTAAGAATTTGAGATAAACAATTCCTTTAAAATAAATATAAAGATACTTTATGTGAATAATTTCATATTATTAGATTATTTCGGTTTTCTATATATTTGTTCCAAATTTATTAGTACTGATGTTTAGCTTAAACTCTGTATTAACACATTTGCAAGCTGTTTATCAATGAACTGTAATTTTTAAACGAAGTCGTTCCAAATCAAACATATATTACATATATCAGAACTTTGTACGTGCAAACAACAGTAATATTGAAATGAAATGTAGCTGTAAAAATCGCCTTTATTTAGCCATTAACGCCCCCCAGAATCTGCATGTAAATGATAACCATCACCTATAAATTTAAATTACAGAATATGTGATCAGTTTCCTCGATAAAACGCTTAGCTAAAATGCAAATTTAAAAAACCTTCAAAGTTCGCATTCCACCATAAAGCATATCCACAGTTACATTTTGAATTACCGCTGCACCATGTTGTTTTCGAAATTCCCGGACTTTCTCGTTATGAATCGAAATTTTTTGTGCCAGTGCCTGGAGCGAAGTAAAGCTCAAAAAAAGATCATTTTCGGGTAATATTTCTCAAAATTTTTTAAAATTTTAAGAATTTTAATAGAAAGAGGCTA